TTCATGAATTTCGCATACCCAGGCATTTGCTCCAAAGCCTCCACCAAAGGCACGTTGATGGATAAGCTCTTCATCATGTCAATGAACTTTCGGAATTGGGTGTCACTTTTCTGCTTGTGTAGCCTTTGAGGATAAGGCAGAGGTGGTCTAGGCAAAGGTGCCTTGGCTTTTGGCACCACCGGCTCCGGCATGTCAATTATGTGCTCCCTAGACGGGTTCACGGCCTCTTGAGTTTCTACCTCGGCCTCATCAATGTCAATCCTCACATCATTGTTCACATCATTCTCTACCACATCTTCAACTACCAAAGGAATATCATTTTCTTGCATCTCAACATCATCATCCACAACATGCTTATCTTTCGAGGCGCGCACATCACCGCCTCTCCCACTTCTTGTTGTAACTGCCATCACATGATTGTTCCCACCCTCAGGGTTCACTACCGTATCACTTGGTAGAGCACCCTTTGGGTGAGTATTCAACGGTTGAGAGATTTGGCCTAATTGCACCTCTAAATTCCGAATGGAGGTATTGTGGGAAGCCAATTGAGCATAGGAATCTTGGTTCTTCTTCATCATTTGTTTGAACATCATTTCTATTCTTCCCATATCATTACCCGAAGAACTAGATCCTTGAGAAGAGAACGGGGGTGGATTGTTCGGTTGTTAGGTTGTTGGTACATGGGGGGCCTTTGAAAGCCTTGCCCCCAATTGCCTTGACCGTTGTTGTTCCAATTGTTGTTATTTCCACTCCACTGCCCTTGGTTTCCTTGATTGTTGTTCCCCCAATTACCGCCTTGGTTGTTGTTGTTCCAATTACCACCGCCTTGTTGTTGATTGCCCCAATTACCTTGAGGTCGCCATTGTTGGTTTGAAGAGTTGCCTCTATTGCCTTGATAGTTGTTAACATATTGTACCTCTTTATTTTGTTCATCATAGCCCTCATTTTGAAACCCTTCACAATCATCGTCAAATTGTTCGGAATTCCCTTGATTTGGTTGCCTTCTTTGCCTTCTCTTATTGGTAAGCAAATTAACACTTTCCATAGCATTTACTTGGCGAGGATTTTGGACTTGTTGCAACTGTGCCTTAGCCAATTGGTTCATGGTAGTTGTCAACTCCGCTATAGACTGTCCATGGTCATGTAGCTCCTTATCAAATGAATAACTGTAGGGTCGCCTTGAGGAACATTGGCCCTACTTTGCCATGCGGAAGATGTGTCCGCCATCTCATCAAGAATCTCACAAGCTTGGTCATAAGTCAACCTCATAAAGTTATCCCCGGCCAATTGATTGACTATGCATTGATTTGTTGTATTGATGCCCCGATAGAAGGTTTGTTGGATCATCGCCTCCATCATATCATTGTTTGGGCATTCTTTCACCATTGTTCTAACAAATTGGTCGCTTCTGGCTGCCTTATTCCGTCACCCGAGATCCAAGTCAGCACCGGCAAAGATCTCTTGATTCCTCGCGGTCGGGCCGGCTTGGAAGCAAGCTACCTCTTGCCTCTCTCACCTCCTTCCTTCAGCTGGGTGAGCCTTCGCTTTTCGGATCGTCTTCTCCCCAATGCGGTACCCCCCGTTTTTTGGTTCCCATTGGGTTTACCTTGTTCATAGGTCGACCCCATGGCAGCAAGAAAAGGCGATCTTGTGCTATACTCCGGTGATCTCTTTCCTACCGAGACACGCAAACTCCCATCGTGTCCCAGATCACATTCCGTGAATCGAAAGGGGAAGCCTACTCATCTATCAGCTCCTCTCGTAGATCGGTGCGGTTTTACGAAGCGTCTAAGCACAGTTCACTCGCGTTGATCAATCAAGAGGGTTGCCGCCACTCCTTAATAAGGTTATCTGTTGTATCACTTCTTGCATTCTGTCCCACGCTTCATACCTCCTCTTTCTACTTAAGGTAAGATAAAGGGCCAGTCATGGTGGGGTAGGAGCATCCAGTCGGCAATCTTTTTGGCTTGACCAAGAAGTCTTATGTCCTCCGAGTCGCACGGCGTTTTAACCGAAAGAACTTCTTGCGCAATTCATGCCTTTCTGTTTTTATGACCAGAAATTCTTTCTTTATTTTCATATAAAATTGTTCTCTGGACTTTTTATCAATATGAGGTGATCGTAACACAGTATATAAGACTCGTGATTCAGGCAATCCAATCTTCCGTGTGTAAGGCGGAAGCCCCCAAAAATGGTTTTCAAAAAATGGGTGATCAAAAGATCGAATTACTATGCCTATCTTGGTGGTCGTTACTTTTGGTGGTCTTTCTTTTTGGTCCTCTTCTTGTTCTATTGATCAGAAGCGTCCAGCAGCACCACTCCGGTTTAGAATTCGATTCTAAGGGCTAAGACCCCCTTTTCTTTTCCTCCTGGCCGTGTGTGGGCCACACTTTAGAAAGGCCAAAAAGGGGGTCTCCTATTTCTCGTCCCATAGAGAATCTCCGAATTGCGGATCGTCGGAACCAGCCTAAGATAGGGCTGGCTCTGACGAGTGCCATCTCTTTCGATCTGGCTCAAATACCTATTTAAGGTATTCTCAGAAAGCGCAGCCTCCCTAGTAGGGTGGTTAAAGATGAGGCCGCGGATTTCTGACCTCCAAGCCAGAACCATATGGGGGGGAAACCCATCCCGCACCAATGCTGCTTCTATCTTTTTTTCCAGCAGCATTTGTTTCTCCAAAATACCCAAAAAGGGCGGGAGGTGCCTGGCCTCGTTCCTACCAATGAAATAGAGCGACAATCGCTGTTGAAGTCTACCCTCCTTTGGATATCAGGAAGGAGAGGTTGCTCTAATTCCAGAACGAGGACCTCACGTGGAATGGGCGCAACCTCGGGCTCGGGAAGGCGCGGTTCTGGTTCTCTCGAAGGAGAGAAATCAAGAGCGCCAGACGAGGAACCCCTTCCCCCGTCGCACGGGGCTACGAAGCAGTCAAGATACTCACTTGTTGAATAAAAACTTGTCATAATCAGAAGGAAAAGAGCGGCCCCCAACCCCAAAAGGTTCCTTTGGAAAAGCTCTTTCTCCCTCCTAATTATGGTAGTCGTGGTTGATTCGAGGATCTTACGTGGCGGAGCGAACTCTTCTATCGTGTTGCATTTTCTCTGGCGGACCCCGCTGGTCCATCATACTGGAGCGATTCGAGAAGAACGATTAGGTTCATATTCTATCCTTTCTACAATGCCTACAGACGAAGTGCTTCGTTTCAGATCAATTCTTCGCTGCAATCGCTTCGATCCACCCCCTCGGTGAAAAACCGTAATACGCCCTGAGGAATTCCTACCAGCAGACTTCCCTGTACTCAAAGTGAATTGTCTGAGTGCTCTCCATTGTCTCATTCTTTATCTCGTAATCATTCGATTCCGCCCCTAAAGCTAGCTCCTACTCCTCCTCCTTCTCCTTTAGGATAGGATCCTATGGTCCTTTTTACATTACATTCTCGGCTGCCTCCGGTCCGGTAGGTCGGTCGCCCTCTAGCCAGTGACTAGCCCAACTATGGAGCTAGGTCTACACCGCCACGTCGAGACTCTGTTGAAAGTGAGATACCGGCTTTCATAAGAGGGAAAGATCACTCCGTCATGCAGCAGAGCAGTTTTCATCTAACTAGAAATTTCATAAGAGAAGAAGAATCGTAGCGTAGGGTTGACATAAACAATCGGTTAAAATAGTCTTATGAGAAAGCATCTGTTCATGTTCGTAGTTGCAATAAGTTTTCTTTTTTTAATCGAGATTGGCTTGGTCTTCAGTCTACCCTAATGAAACCTAAAATCTCACTCCCTCGCTTTCTCCTTCTGATAGACTAGCTTGCGCATCTTCTCTTTGGCACTCATCCTTGGCTTGGGGAGTGCTCTCTCTCTCTTCTGTGTCAGCGAAGGAAGGATAAGAGTAAGAACAATCGGCCGAATGATTGTTATTCCACTTACGGTTACAGTGCCTCTATCGAAGCAGAACAAGTCTAATACTCCAGCTGTGGTTTCGGGGGGTGTAATTTCGATCTAAACCCGGAAACCCATATCTTTATATACGAAATTACTTCGTCCTTTTTGTTAGCCCTTTTTTCATTAGGGGGTTCTCCTTACCTTCGGTCTCATTCAAGACCTGATCAAGGGATTTTCCCTTTTGACTTTTGGTGTATAGGGCATTTCTTTTTGTTCCCCTTTGTCACGCAATCGAAAAGAGACCAGAACCACGTGAAAAAAGGTTTCATAAGCAAACATAATTGTGGAAATCAAGGGAGAGTGCCGTTTTAGAAAAGATACAATAGATTCCGGTTCACCCGAGCTTAGGGGTCAATTACGGGGGGTAACCGGTCGATCAACTCATTTCGGGGTTAACCTGTCGATCAACTCTAGGCTGAGCTTCTAGTGAAAAACTAAAGCCCTACCTTATAGAATGCAATTCCTCTCTTTTGCAATAACTTGGCTTTTTTCTTCACTTCAGCTTTGAGATGATTTTTGCCACCGGGGACCGGCTCAATGAGCACCTTTGGGCGGTGCTTTCTCGATCAACTATCTGACTTATTCAGAACGACAGTTAACCAAGACATGAAGAAGTGCAATGCAGAAGAACACCTTCTTTCTGGAGGCCTCGGGCAGTGGAAGATGAACAATCGCTAAGGAATAGCCTGAACTAAGAGGAAGTGAAGTAATACTTGGCCAATTCCCCGGTATTCATTGAAGACTTCGCACGTACCCCTGCTAATTCTTATTCTAATACTAAGGGCGCATATCTGTACTCATTAGTAGGGAAAAGCCCTTCACATCAAAACAATCAATCAGGACTGGTGCCATTCGCGCTTCTTCTGACTATTGAAAGTGGAAGTTCAAGCTTTGAAGCTCATTTTCCAACATTCCTTTCAATTCTTTCAGCCGATTTGGCAGCTTTCAGCTATATAAAGTTAGGTGATTTACCGGGTTGACATTCATATTGATTTCGGCCTTTATTTTCTTCCTTTGAAACGATTGACCTGACCGGCTTGAAACTTGATTTGATTATCTAAGGAAGCCGAGCCAATTGAAAACTATATTTTGTCAAACGAAGACTCTTCTTTTTAGGAAGACGATTCCCAGCCATTCTTTGAAGCTAATTTGAAAACAAAACATTCGTTCCGTGACGTGAGGCTCCAGCTTAAAACTTGGAAACTATACCAAATCATACTCAGCAACTGAAGCATGGAGGAGAAGAGCCGGAAAGGGCGAAACCTCTCTTTTCAAAAGCAAGCGACCTGCCAAAAACATTACAATAGAGAACTCTTTAGCGGAAATGGTTTCCTGGCCTATTGAAACTCTTTTAGCCGATTCGCGGCAACACATTACTTCAGATCAGATTTGTGCCAATTCCTCCATTCACAGAATGCCCTTATCAATCAAACTTTCTCTCTCTTACCGGAACTACCCTCTGCAGCTCCATCTTCAGCAGCTGCTCAATCTTTTATTTCTAAAATCAAACTTGGATGTCACGGGACTTTCTCACAACTTCGTTCCTTGCGTTTTTTCCATCTTTAGCAGTTCCATATTAATCAGTTTCATTCCGATCGATCAGTCGAGATGGTTAGCTTGGGCGCTAATGGTATTTTTTATTTAGAATACCTAGACTAATGAAAATCTTCCTTACTTGAATTGGAATCTTAAGCAGCTCAATTCCGATCTTCACTGGTCTGAGACGGCCCTCTGTTCAAGTACCCCTTCTTCTACTCGAGCCTCGACAGAGTGTTTTTGATCTCATTCGTATTCTAAGGAATTCTAAAGGACTCTTTCATATTGCACCGGTGCTGGAAAAGATTGGACTATTCCCTACCGAGACAACATAAACTCTTCAACGGATCCTCCTTTTTTCAACTAGTAGATCGCCTTTTCTTAAGGTTTCATACTACTACTCAAGTGATACGTGAATTGCTCAGGAGAAGTTTTTTTTAACCGGATTGAAATCGTGAGACAGTTCGGTTCTCTAGACCCATCTACCGCCCTGGAGAAGGGGTGCGGTGTTGAAATTGTTGAACCGGAGAAATGAGTTGGAAAGTAGTGGAACGAAAGCAGACAAGTGAAGACCAAAAGAGACAGGCTTATGACTAAACACTACCCGGAACGAAGCCCAATCGATTCGAATCGGTCAGTCGAACAAACAAAGACTATAGTTCGCGATCAAGTCGTTCGCTTCTATAGCGGTTCGGAATTCCATTGTGATCTATAAAGTTGTTCAATTGATCCATCAAGGATAGAAGGGTGCAGGGGTATAAGTAGGGGCTTCTTGAATGGGATGGCTTTTCTGGATGTCCCATAAATAAGGCCTCCAACTCTATGTTATAGCCTTCATGCCCTCGATCCGACGGTCCTCATTCTCCCACTTGGCAAGCTGCTACTGTGAACAACAAAGTAAAGGATGCTTCCAGAAACCGTCTAGGTTCTTCCTAGGAAGATTCCTTCTTTCTGTCCTATTGAGAGGATGATCCCTGGCCATCGCCTGTGGTGTTAGATCAGAAAGGTGACCACATCTAGTTCCGAGGTTGGCCTAACCTAACTTGATGACACGCTTATAGAGTTTTCCGACCTGAAATGCTGCGTAAAGCGTCTTTCTTGCTCGGTGATCAGTCAATGAAGTCATTCTGGATCCCTGACTCGTCTCATTCTGAGCCTTTGGCCTGTTTGACATTGGGTCAAATCTGTCGTCTGGGCATCGTCCCCTCTCTTGATCTACTTCGGTTACAACTCGATAGTGAGTTTTGAGGGTCAAGTAAGGGATTGGGTTGAGAGGAGGGTCACAGTCCTGCTATATACGAAATACTTAATAGCTAACGGCCGTATGGCATCTATCCATCCATGCTGAAGTTTTTGAGACTGAGGGCTTGGATCGAGGTCCTGAAAAGCGTGAAACGCAGTAAGGACATTGATGAAGTATAAGCCCTGGCGAAAGACGAAGGCGGTAAGCGAAGCGAGGACGATAATTCTCTAACCGGGCTCTTAGTGGAAGTCGAAACCCGTGTTCAAGTAAAGGAGATACTGATTCATTAATGAATTTTTACAGGCAAAATGCCGCTGACAATGTGTTGAATTGGCAGGTTACCTGATGAAGAAGCTGGGAAGGTACCAGCTGCCTGCGTGGTGTTAAACCAAAATGCTAAAGAGAGCGAAGGGGAAATCATGAACTACGTTTCATGTAATGTAGTACACTATAAGAGAGTTAGAGTACTGCAGTGGACACAATTCAAAAATTCCTCAAAGAAAGGGCTTATATAAAATAAAGAGAAATTCAAAACAAGTTACATGCTCGTGACCCACAACAACTAATAGGGCCAACATTTTAGAACTACTATTTTTATTTTTGCAACTACATACTTTCCTGGAATAAGAAAGCCTGAAGGTGACTTAACTACTTTTTGTTCATTTTTTCTAGTCTGCCAGGCGACCGAGTGCTCCATGAACAATGAGCGCTTCCTGCTCCGCCCGCAGCGCTTGCTGCCTCTCCTCCAAACCCTCTATGCGCTCTCTGGTAGCGCGAATGCGCGCTTCTTTCCTTGCAGGATCCATTGTTCTAACACTTCTCAAAAGGAAGTTTAGCACTCTACGGTGCTCTTGAATTTAATTTTGCAGTTGCCCCATTTCGGCAGCAATTGCAGAAAGCCTGTTTGCAGTATCCATAGCCATACGTGCTAGTACTCAATTTCTTTGAAAAGAATTTGATGAAGTGAAGACACTTATCGAGCCTCCATTTATAGAGTGGTAGAGTAATCTCGCCATGCGTCAAGAATTGGATGGCAGGCACAATTCTTACTAGTTCTCCGCACAACTTTTGTGCAGTTGAAGACTATCATGCCTGTTTAATGAAAAACTGCTGGCTCTAACTACCTTGCAGAGCAAACAAAAGATCCCAAAATCACACTACCTGTATGAACAAACAAACTTTGCACAACCAGCTTACGTAGAAAAGAATTCATATTCTATGCCAATAGATTCGTGACATCTATGTACTGAGTCGTCAAATGAGCCACGTTAATAAAGCCCAAGCTTATACGCATTGGCCCACAGGGTGCCCCAATAGGGCCCGAATGAAAGACCCAAGCCTACATGAATGACATGAACCATCAAAGTCCTACAAATGAAGACTTGGCCCTATCAAGCCTGCTTTCCTCGATAAAAGCCCACAGAAGGGCCAAAGCACAACAAGCCTACTCATCATCAAAGGAAGTCCAAGCCCATGCAAAAATGACCTCTTTGTCATGGGAGCCCTTTCCTTACTCCTCAATATAGTCGCAGGTTCTATACATTAAGATTTGCAGCACCTATTCAGGAGCTGGGGAATCGGCTTGAAAGTCCATATCTTTCTATTTTCCTCTATCTCCGGC